GCCTGGATACCTCATCGCCAACCAGATGTCTTATCGCTCATCACGTGGCATTGGTCACACCCCCTGCATCTGCTATCCGGTCTCCACGAGAACTACGTTCGGCATTTCCTTACCTGCAGCGCTCCTAGAAGCACCAAAGTTCGATAGCCGGAACACAAACTGCGATTTCGCAGGTTAATCGCGGCAAATAAAGCAAGTTGGAGTTGGAACTCCGTCTATTGTGTACTTATAATTCTTAATTCAATTTGCCTATGTTTGCACTACCTCATTCTTGTCACAGTCACCAGTTTCTCGACTTTTCTGCTCTCACTAATTTAGATAACAACTCCATTGATATTAATACGTTAACAATATTCTCATCTGACCTTACAAAATTATTATTTAAAAAAAAACCTATTCGATTTATCTTTCGGTTATTGTATACTACCTATCGAAATGATCAAACTGTTCTACAAGGGATAGAGCCTTGGCTCAGGCACCCTGGTGTCTCAAACAGCATTCTACAGAGAGAGAGAGAGAGAATTTCGTCTTTACCAATGCACTTTGATTTGTGCGTAACGCGCAAATTCATAAGGATTTAAAGATTCTACCGATTCACGATCAAATACTAACTACTGCACACAACTTCTTTGAAAAAATGAAAAACTCGCAATACCCGGCCCTCGCAAACTATGATCCCACAGAGGAACTTGTAGTAAAAAGACCGCGAACACTTCATCGTAATGCATTATGGCGGTAGTGTACAGTATGTATATTTTATTCTACTTTTTTCACGTATTTTAATGCTCTTCATTTAATCAAGTTTTGCTTATGTTTTGGACTATGCTCTGACAAAGCTTATGGACTTTGATTACAACTTATATTACTTACTTATTTTACTTATTATTTCTATTTAACCAAGAATTTATTTAGTACTATAGTGTTTTATAGCAAAGACTTTGCTTGCAGTAAAACTTTTAGTTCGCGGTCTTATGACTCCTTCACTGGCTACTGGCCACCTCGCATCTCGTGGTGTTTACTCTGCAACTTTAATGAAATAAATTTTCTAGCATGATTAATTAATTGTACTCTACCCGAATTGTGTTTTTGAAGAATAAGGACATTATTATCTCTTCAAATTCGTCTTTTTGAACTTCTACATTCTTATTTTACGTTTTATTCAGCAATTTTATGAAACTTAAGTCTTATTTTGCACCGACCAATCCCATAACTCACTGCTACTGACATGCCATTTAATTGCATTTAAAAATTACTATTTACTGAGTTAATCTTAAGATATCGATCTCGCCTTCGGGTGTGGTGTATTTTTCAATACACCTCTTATTTTATTCTGATTACTAATGGCCTTTGGTAAAATATTTAACTATTGGTTAGAACTCTTAGAAGTTGATGCCAGAAGAAAAGATACGATCCTAGATCCTAGATTCCGTCTTTTCTCTTGCTTCGTTTCGCTGCTTCGCATTGTCGCTCGCTACGTAGAATTTATTTTTCTAATTTTCATCCTTTAAGAAAATGTAAGCTGTATAAAATTGGGGGGCGGGTGCATAGCACACCCACAGTGTGCATTATCTAGAAAAATTATTTGTGGAATTTAGACCATGTCTGCAAGTTCTTTTGGTTTATGCATCCATCGTTCTAACTACGCAGCAAAGTCTTCAAGTTAAGATGCTGTCTTCTCCGATGCCAAACCGTTGCAACTCTCATCAAGTCATCTTATTTCAACAATAACGCAGTTTATTGTGCCAAGAGTATTTATACTGATGTAATGCTAGAGACAAGCTATGATTGGTTAATTTGAGGTTGTTACATAACATAGAAGGATCTCGAATTTGAGAGAACAGAAGAATTTAGGAGGAGAGCACCAACTCTAGAATCGTCAATTTTGAGGTCACCAATTATTTTTAAAGCAGCTCTCGTATATTCTTATATCTTATATATAATTGATCTTTCTTATAAAACTACTACGAGTACATACATATATATATATATGTTATACGAGTATACTAGAATATATATATATATTATTTCATTGTAAATTTTGTGTTCTCTTTAAGCATTTTTATACTACATTTAAAAGCCAGACGAAGGCTGGTCGCGTAGCGGCTATTTTTAGATAATACAAGGTTTAAAAAAAGTGGTGAATGTTGTGAAATTTAGTCAGTTTTCTTTTAATTAAAGCGTGTGATTAAACTTACTTATCACGCTTTTTGGTTAAGGTGTAAAATAAATTATTAAAACAAGCCAAGAACATAAAATGCAGTAGTGCACCTTAACAATGTTATTCAACTATAACACTACTCGTATTATTAGCAAATATAAACAACCTAATCCTAAACGAAGCAAACAAATATAATTATAATCATATGGAACATTGTCAAATAAACAAACTAAATATCGAACACGAAACGAATGGAGAGGAATGGGGAAAATCGAACTAAGTGCCGGTATGATTATTGGAAGTCGTAACGTCGGGAAATTGTTCAAGCTCTTGGAAAAGTGGTCATTTCAAAATTAAAGCTAGTAAAAGTCAAAAACTTAAAAAAAATATATGTGTTTCTGAATAATAAGGTTAAAACAAAATGTTAAAAGGGGCGCAATTTTACGTACATTCATTTTGAACATTCATTTGTTTTTTTTTTCCTCTGTAAAAATTGTACCACTAAAAATATTGTAATGTACCACCAGCGGTACATGTACCACAGTTTGAGAACCAGTGCGTTAGAGAATTTGGCAGAGAAACCGTGATGGATGTTACGATTAGAATTGTCAAATGATAAAAAAAACTCCCATTAAATATTTTAGGAAAATAAACTATCGATATTTCATATTTAAAACAAATCTGAAAGAAAAATATACTGATCTGCGATTAAATTCTTAAGGGAAAAGAAATCTGGTTTTATTCAAATAACCACAAGCTGAAATTATGTTTTAGTGATAACACCAAATGCTATGTTAGTGATAGCGCTAACGTCTATCATAATGCCAGGGCTATGAACTCAAAACTGGTCAAATGGAACATCTACTTCAAGAAAATGTATCTTTTTCTTTCAGTACTGTATGTACGATTATATCGGGTTTTAACGGAAGTTTCCTGCCACCGCAACTTTCGTCTGCTTTATTCAAATAACCACAAGCTGAAATTATGTTTTACTGATAACACCAAACTAGCACTAAAGTCTATCATAATGCCAGGACTATGAACTCAAACTAGTCAAATGAACATCCACTTCAAGAAAATGTATATTTTTCTATCAGTACTATATGTACGATTATATCGGGTTTTAACGGAAGTTTCCCGCCACCGCAAATTTCGTCTGCGCAAACAGCTCGCGTTGGCGTATTTAATCATATTTTGTCAAACGATTTTTGGCATCTGAAAGAAAGAGACATTGCTTTAGAACACTGTGTAGCGAAATTTGTAAAATATCGTTGTCATTAAGTACAAAGTGTTCGAAATGGAATTATCACGCTACCAGATTGGAACCATCATTTATTTCCAATTCTCTTGTAGAAAGTCGGCTACAGAATGTCACCAAATCATATGTATAGCTTTAGGTACTGATGTTGTATCATATGACACTGTAAAGGCTTAGTACCGAAAGTTCAAAAACAAGGACTATGACACTCAAGTAGCAGAGCGCTCTGGGCGGCCGACTGATGTTTTTAAGGCCCGACTGGGAGAACTTGTGGAAGAGGTTCAGTATACAACCACTCGAGAGTTTGCTAAGGAGTTAGACAATAGTACTATGTCTATTAGTCGCACTATACATCACATAAACGTAACGTACAAGTTAAATCGCTGGGTACCGCATTAAGTTGACTCAAGCAGGACATAACGCATGGACATCCAAATCCGCAGTCTCATTCCGACCGGAACGAAATGCTTAAACCTATCGTGCTATTGTCCTATACGGTAAAGCATTTGTGCCACAGGCTTCTTCTAATCCTCGATAGCAATCTGTTGCATTTTTGCCACGGGCAACCTCGATTTTAAGTGATTCGTGAAGAAAGTTCTAATAAAAAACCAGGACAAAATTTAAACATTACCTGTGAGCTGTAATCTACGCCCTTTATTGACCCAGCTTGCGATTTGTAATATTTAGGATTAAGTAAAAATAAAATTCAATATTTTAATATTATACCAGTTAAATTTTATTATTATACTAAATTAACAGTTAAATTATTAAAAGTAGCATACTTAAAATGGAAATATTCTTATTAATAATCTATAAATAATGCAGCTACCTTCAAATGAAAAAAAAAAATCTGAATGGTTTCAGATTTTAAATTACACCCAAAGAAGTTTTTTTAACATTTTGTGTGTTACATTTATTTATTAAATATCACGTTCTTCGCACTTAAACCATAAAATCCAGTTCAACAGCAATATCACAAAATAGTCTTAAACTGAGCATATCCCCCCTTTAGAATTTAAGATACAGAGACTCGCGCGTTGGAGATAAAAATGTTTTTTCGGTACAACGTTGCTATTGCTCGCTTTGAAAACATCGAGTCTGTTAATCAAAATTTTGTTTTTGATTAACAGACGTTTTTGAAAAAAGTTTTACAAAATACGAAATCGATAATAAAACAAATTCCAAATTTCAAATTTGGGCTTCCACGTGCTCATATTCGTAGCAGGATTACGCCATTCAAAATTCGATGGCGCTATGTACCGCAGTTTTAGCACAATGCGAGAAATATACATTCATTTATGCAGATTTTTCCTTATTTAATTTTTTCAAATATAATGCAAAATTTTAACATTTGGAGGCAACAGTTTGAAAAGCGAAACGAAACATTTATAGTGAACCAACGCAAAATCGCAAAACGAAAACTTTAGTTCTTCAGGGCCAAAGCCCCTTTGGACTAAAAAAGAAGTAAACTTACTCCAGTCGGAATGACTGGTATTATTTTACTCGGGCTTAATTCTTTAAAAATAAAAAATTGAAATGTAATTTTTTCCCTTCAGTTACTTATTTGTTGTTCTATGTTTACAGTAATTATCCTCGTGTTATGGCTCCCAAAGTTCTATTCAAGTTGGATTTGCGTCTCTTACGTTTCAAACTTCATTATTTCTTCTATTGTGGTGGTAAGTTTGTTCTTATCATTTAGAAAATATAATCTATAGCATAGTTAGTTATTATGCACTCATTAAGCCCGTTATTGATGGTGAAAGTGTAAATTTCATCACTATTGCATACGACTCATCGAATGATTATTCTCAACTTTGTCTAAAATGAAACTACACATGAAGATGCTCAAAAACCCTAAGAGAAACTGAATAATATTAGCAAAAGTACTAGGCAGCTGATATGCTAATGATTTAATTACCAAAGTTTCTGATATTTATAAATAAAACTAATAATCTCCCAAAAAATTCCTGACCTCAGTTTATTTTTGCGATTAATGTGCCAGTGATTTTTTAGTGAATTTTCTATTCATATTGCTTGTTAATAAATCACAAATGATTTATGATTTATACATCTGGACCTCTGTTTCATCACTTTAAATAAATGCAAATTCTTGCAAAATAAATATCCTATATACATTCACTAGTGAAACAAATTAATATTATTATGAGAAAGATGCACGATAACTTCATCTAGCATATGAACATCAAATTGTCCTGCAAAGAATTCTTTTGTAATTAAATTTTTTCAGTATCATTTAATTTATGTGCATGAGAAACGTTTCAACTACTTTACTCATTTTAGGGGATTTTTTTATTAATTATGCTTATTGTTGAGAGTTGACTTGTAAATAAAATTAGGCTGTAGAACAGCGTTTCCCAAAGTGTGGGTCGCGACCCGGCACCAGTTCGCAGAAAAATTCAGCTGGGCCGTGGCAAAAATTCTAAAAACACAAAAAATCTATAATATTTTGCTCTAAATTTAATATTTTTCGAAACGTTTCCAAGTACTGCAGACGGCAACCCTTTACCACCGTTTCCTACCGGACCGTTTAAATTTGGGTGCTCTGATTGGCTGATTTCGATTCATCATTCAGTCAGGGATAAATAGAAGGGCTAGCTCATTTCTTTGTTCGACTCCTCGCCGACGCGAGCCTAATGGGGGGACGTAACAGGCAATAATCTGACGTCACTGTGATGCCACCTGTCCTGATTTCCCGCGTTTAAAACAGTAGTTTCATTGAGCTGCGAGACGATTTTCTAGAGGTTACATATCCAAAATTAATTTTAATAATATATATATCTGTTTTCTAATAATGTATATATTTAAAATAATTTATATATATGTAACTTTAGTCAGTTTTTATTTTAAATTCTATATTGTAAAGTATCGTTTACGTAATATGGCTTTTTGCGTTGCAGTAACGTGTCGTAGCACTTACAGAAGTATGAAAGGATGAGATATTTTATTTCATGGGACCAAAGGATCCAAATGAGAGTTTGCTTTTGACGAAAGAATGGATACACAAATGTCAAAGAGAAGATTCTATTAATGTGAAGAGCGGAAAAATCTGCAGCGAACATTTTCTATGCAGTGTTATGCAGATGATATGAAAAATCGCTTGTTTGGATAGCCACAAAAAGAAACTGTTGAAATGGAATGCTGTGCCGAAAGTAAATTATGATGACAATAATAAATCGAAATTGATGATGACAATAATAAATCGAAATTGATGATGACAATAATAAATCAAATTTTAATGATTTTGAAATAAAACTCACAAATGAAAATGTAGATCATCAGATTTAAGGATAAACAAGAATGCATTGATAATTTGAAGAACAAAATAATATCCTTAGAAAATTGTATTAAATTGTATTAAAGTATTGAAAAATAGAGAAAAGAAAAAATTTTAGAATGTTTGTTCAGCGACAAAGAAGGTGGATGACATCTAGACAGAAATTGGTATCAGAAATTAAAATCTCAAATAGCGAAATTTGGGGGGGGGGAGCACAAATCGGAGAATTTGGAAAAATGTCTAAAGCCTTATTTTTATAAAGACGCAGATTAATGCATTACTGAAAAAGAAGAAAAAAAATCAGGTGGACTAGTGAAAATATTTCACGTTGCATTGTCATAAGAGCTCTGTCATCTTAAAGCTATGATTTTTGGAAAGAAAAAAAAAAAAAAAGAAAAAGATTGGAATATCTTTACCTAATATTATCAAAATTAAAGAAATGGTGTTTATTTTATTTTTTAGTGTTTTCTAATTTTAGTGTAGTCCAAGAATTCAAAACGTAATGTTCTTACTCTAAAGAAGGAAAGAGGCGAATATTTGTATTCTGTAGAAAAAATATGCGCTCTCAGTTTCGACGAAATGCATATAGATTGAAAACTCTGCTATGACTCTAAACAGACTAAGTTGGTTCTTTTCAAAATGTGCAGTTTGTTTTAATCAGAGGTCTCATTTCCGGCTCTGCCTCAAATTACTGAGAAACCGCGTTTTAGATAGAGATAGAGGATTTGTTTTAGAAGATGTAACTGTTTTAAATTTTGATATTATTAAAGAGGTTTTAAATAGAGATTGAGAAGAAATCAAATTGTGTCACAAACTAAAACCAAATTATTTAATGGTCAAGGGAAACGAGAGACAAAAAGTCGCTCCAGAGAAACATTATTTTCAAAAAGTAAACGCAAAACGTATATACTCTACACCTCACCGGAAATCAGAAAAGCATCTGACTTCTATGAGTTAATCGATTAATATCGATCGGTATCTATCGGTATTACGAAAATAATACCAATAAGAATAACAAGTATTTAACAAACTAATTTTATTAAGTACTTGTTAAAGTTATTCTTATTGTATCCTTTGTAACTAATTATTGATTCGATTTTGTGCTAGATAGATTAAATTAGAACGATTAGCGTTCTAGATAAAATATAATAGTATAAAACATCAAAGTAATTGGCTTAAAAAGACCTGCTTCCTTTACTCACACTTTTGAAAAATTAAGTAACTGTTTTAGGTACTCTGAATAAAGCTATTTGTCAAAATTAAGGTAACAATCTTATACACATTTATTTAATTGTAATATAGATATAAGTATAAATTACAAAATTATTAAAAAATTAAAAAAATATCTGTTATATTGAATCGGAAGAGAATTATAACAATGTAAAATTTACAATCAGGCAAAAAATCAAAGGTAGGTTAGTAGAAATGTTGCCATATATGTCATATATGTTTAAACTTATGTCAATGTAAAGTTGTTTTTTGAGTAAATTTAAATAGCTGCTATTATAGTTATCTTAGAAGCAGTATCAAAATTCTCTCAGTTAGCATGCAAATAAAGAAATGATTAGAAATAAACGTGCATTAAATAAAAAAAACCTGCAAATAAAATAAAAAATACCCACGGAACTTTATGTTAAAAAGAGTAGCACATTTTATCTATTATTTTAAAATTGAGTAAGCATTATTAAATTTTTTAATGGTTCAGTCTAAAATGCATAAAGCAGTAACATTGCCTCTTCCAAATTATAGCTATCTTTCACACACAGCTCATTTTAAACGCTGGTTCAAAAACGCTAATTTCCAAGCTGTGAATTATATTGGCGCGCTCAGTGTCATCATGGGTACATCATCACTTCTCACTTTCTGCTTCAGGGGGAAAAGCTCTATGAGCTAGCCCTTCTCTTTGATTACACGATTATTTCTGATCTCTTATCTTGGATTACACGATTATTTCTGATCAATGGTTATTTCTCGGAATTAGTGAAGTGCTCTGCTTGTGTTTTTGAGAATATTTTCGAAGATTTTTGTGATTGTGGTGAAAGTGTGATTTTGTTCCACATGGTGGGCAACGACTTTCCGCCGTTACCGGATAAACAGAAAATGGATGCGTCGACTGTTAGCGGGAAATTATGTGATTTCAGCTCTGATCTATTGGATTACGGAAACAAAATTCTGGACTCGGACTGGCAGGAACTTTACGCAAAAGAAATATGGCTCTACAATGATTTCTGTCGTGGTGTGGAAATGGTTACTAAAATAAATACGGATTTGATCGCGCGGGGAGACTCGTGCAAGAACTTTCTAAAATTGGTGACTGATGAAGTGATTGCGAAGAACATCCGGGGGAATCTAGAAAGGGAACAAGCCATCGGAACGACACTCAGATCAAGCTTTGAAGGTAAGTGCCAAAGTGCTGCTTCTGCCCTTGGTTGTGATATGAATTCTGATAATGTTAAACTTGCATGTAGAAATGTTTTAATTAATAATATTTTCTCTATTGCTAATGATTTGAGTTCTCGTAAAGATAATGATATGACTAATGGTTTAAATAATTGTAATGCCGGCCAAAATATTAATCAGGCCGAGTTAACGAAACCTAGGCCTAAGCGCCCATCAAAAAAATTGGCTCTAAACGTTCGATAAATGATGACAGGGACGCAGATGGTTTTATTCTTCCCAAAGAATACTGCGCGCCCAAGTAAATAATCAAATGCAATGCCGCTGAATTGCCACTGGCAAAAAAATTTGAAAAATTAAGCACGCATGATATAAATACTAAACCTGATGAGGATGAATTGATGATGTGATAATGGAAAATGTTGTTGTTAAGATTCCCAAACCTAAACCATTATGGTAAAACCTGATGTTAAAGTTTAATGACTTTATGAAGGTGTTCGTGATGATGTAAAATGTGAATTTGCGGGCAAGGTGCAGGGGGACTTCCTCAAAATCTTCCCGGAAACTGAAAATGATCCATCGCAACAATTACCAAATTTCTTGATGACAAAAAAGTTGACCACTACATTATTCTTTCTAAACTTTGATAAACCACTCAAAGTGGTTATCAGAGGTCTGCCCAATTGATTGTGCTACGGAAGATATTCCATGAGGAATTAACTAGAATGGGATTATAAAGTACGAAAGTCGCCCAAATGCACAGGATTAGGACAAGAGTCCCCATGCCCTTGTTCCAAATTCACGTTGAAAGAACCCCTGAAATAGAAAAAATATATGATATTAACCAAATTTTTAAATTTTTATGTAAGCATTCAAACCTTATCAGAGTGAATGGGAGTGTTGTGCAATGTCATAATTGCCAGCACTTCCATCACTCATCTGAGAATTGCAAATTAAACTCACCGTGTGTAAAATGCGCTGGCA